CGTTTCTGCTTCTACAGGGAAGCCGGTTTTCGTGTTGAGCTTTAAAGCCAGCAAAAATTTCAGTTATGAACGGAACGTGAGTCCCCCACGTTCTGTCTGGAAGCCACTGACAGGCCTCCCCCCGATCCTGGTCTTCTTGGCCAAAAACGTGGTGTGTGTGTGCATGGTGTGCATTGGGCATTTTTCAAAATGGCAAACAAAGCGCGCGTGACAGGAAAAAACGGCCAGCAAATCGTTCACTCAGCCTCAGAAAAACCTAAAAATCCATTTTCACACAAACACACACACACATATACAGGAGATCCTTTTTTTGTTTCAGAGTGTGGGTGAGAGAGTGTATGTGTGTGTGGCAGACAGTTTTCGAAGCATTTGCTTAATTTAATTTTGCTTGCCTGAACGGGCTGGTGGTGCTGATGCTGGGGATTCTGGTAAACCAGCAGGACCCTCTCTCTTAGCTTGGCTTTAAACTCCCTCCAGTTATCCTGTGTCCTTTCTCTCAGTGCAGAAGCAGTCTTGACTTGCAGTTTGTGTTTTCTTAAAAATTTTTGCATTTAATCAACCAAAAGTCCGACACCCTAAGACCTTGATTCTCCTTCCTTTTTTTATCAGTGTAGGCCTTATAATTTCCCCACTTGACGCTAAATCAAATGAAGCGAAGCGATTGCAAATGCTAGGGGGGTATCTCACTCACAAAGGCTTAAGCTTTCGCTCCCCCCTTCCAGTTGGCACACAAAAGGTGACAATTGTTCATTTGTTTCGTCCTTTGTTTGTCCGCCCAGCAGATGACAGTTGTGTGCATAGAAGAGGGGGGGATATTAAGGAAGGGGGTACCATCAAGGATATGGGAATGTTAAAGAAGGACATGGTGGGATTGGTGGCCCACCTGAGTGGATAAATGCAGTTGACGGCTGCTTTCACTTTTCAAAATCATTTGTCAACAAAGTGAAGGACTTTAGGGAGTGAGTTTTTAGGTTTAGGTTGGAGTTAAGTATTTAATTAAGTAGTTTAATAAATAAATTTAACTTTAAAAATAATAAATATTATGATTTAAGTTTAAGAAATAAGAAAAATCAACTTGAATTCTGTTGGTGATGTATTACACATTTTTGATTCCCTTTTTGTGATTTGTGATTGAGTTCCCAAGGGATGCCAAGGATGCCAAAGGATTCCAAAGGATATGGAGAAGGATAAGCAAGGGATAGCCAACCAGGCACTTTGGCACTGTGGTCAACACAATCAGGATGCAGTCATCGCCAGTTGGCACTCCATTGCTTACCTTTGCCTTTCATTTCCGTTCTTTGCTCCTCCTGCCTTTCTTTCTACCTTTAACCTTTCTACTTTTTTCTTTATCTTCTCTTAGAGAGAATACCTCTCCTCCCTGTTTTTCCAATGCATTCTGGGCTGACATAACTCCAAATGCACTTGCTGACAGTCATTGAAAACGCAAACTATAGATTATGCCACTGCCACTGACTCCTGGTAGTCCCATCTCTTTTTAGCTCTCTTTCTACCTATCTCTTTCTCTTTCGTGCACCTGTCCTTGTCTCCCTAGTGGCACTTGTTGTAAATCAAAATAAAAATAAAAATAAAAATTATCTAACAAAATGCATCGAAAAGACTCGAACTAGAGCTCTTGGTCTTGGGCGGTAAATCGTTAGTGGGTGTGGCACTTGGAGCAGGTGAGCAGGCATCGCTCTGTCTCCCTTACTCTTTTGGTATAAATGTGCAACATTGCAGAAAATATTTCAACAGCCTCCCAGCCACCCACTCCCTGCCCTTTCACCTTTGGCTGGGATGGTCAGTTTTTGGCAGTTGATAATGCGGTCGGGATGTATTCGGTTGTTCATGTCCTTGTTCCTGTCTTTGTCATCCACCCCCTCTCCCTCTCTCTCTCTCTTTCTCTCTCTGAGGTGTGTTTATGGACGTAACAATGACCGCATTCCACTGCCAGTGGATGCCCCGGAGGCTGCACTATAGGAAATTTGACCACTTTTTCTGGCCAAAAATAATATCTCAAGAACGAAACGAAATATTTAAGTTCTGATTTTTGATTTGAGTTCACATGGTCAATAGATTTAAAATTTTAAAAAAATGTGGGCGTGGCACCGCCCACTTTTTAAGAAACACATTCTAACTCAAAAACTATGCAAGATATTTAAATTTTGATTTTTGATTTGAGTTTATATGGTCAAAAGAACTCAGAAATGAAAAAATTGTGGGCGTGGCACCGCCCCCTATTTAAAAATAACATGCTAACTGTTCGGTTTTGCACTAGTCTCACAGCTAACAGATTCACATTCAAGGTGTTGAGGTTGCCTCCTTAAATTATGAATTTCTTCGAAAGTGCATTTTTATGCATATTCATATTTCACTCATTTGAAGAAAATTAAACAATCTACAACATGGACTAAATTACATTGTCCGACTCCGCCAGACTTGGTTTAAATCTCTTTTTAAAAATGTGATTTTTTTCTAAAAATTTCTTTTGCCAGACTACTTACATTTTCACTTTATTAAAAAGACAACACAAGCTTTTTGGACACTTCACATATACGAACACATAATACAAACCACATTGAAAAGAATTCATTTCAAAACTTTTGATTTCGTCCATAAAATTTTCAGTATTCGCGTTTTTAAAATGGCACCAAAAAATCGTAAATTCTAAGCTCATGTAAATGTTAACATCAACAGCTGTTTTTAACAGGTGATTTCTTCGCAGTGGCGCCATCTATGAAAATTTCTGGTATGCAACATTAAAAATTAATCTATTGTGAATGATATGCAGTTAAAATTATTTTAATCTTTTAACTTTCAAAAAATGGTTTTTGGCCAGAGAAAGTGGTCAAATTTCCTATAGTGGGCTGCCTCGCCCACCACTTTTTTTTTTTTTTTTTCTGCGCCCCAAGTGCAACAACAAAGTTAAAGTTCTTTCTCTTTTTCTATTGACAACTGTGCGGCTTTTGTGCCAAAAAGAGGGGGTGGTGCTGGTCAAAAACTAGATTACCCAGCACCCCCTCACACACACACACACATACTGTATGTGTGTGTGCCTCAAAATGAGCAGATGGAGCAGCTGGAGCTGTAGCCAACATGCCGCGAGCTTTTTACGCGGTCGTCGTCTCATTGCAACTGAGAGGCTGTGTGTGTGGCTGGGGTGAGGGGGGGAAGGTCCTGCGGGGGCAAACAGTGACTGCGAAAAAAACATTCCAACGCGCCAAGCAAACAGCCTGTGGCCATTGGCAGAAGCGCTGAACTGTTTTCTACTGAAGTGCACCGTTGAAAAACAAGGACACGGAAGGACACGTAAGCCTCAAGAGGCTTTTTTTTTCTAAAAAATTAAAAAAAAAAAAAAAAATTAAATGATGAGTCATGCATGTGACATATTTTTCAAAGACTTCTATGATGTTAAGTTTACTAAAATATCTAAAATATTAATAAAGAATAGTCACCTTTCTCGCAGTGTCCTCTGAGGTGGCTTGAGGTTGAATGCCGCATTAAAACAAATAAAATCAAATAAAACGTTTATTGCACTGAAATGTTTACGAGGACCCCCCCAAAAAACAAAAACAAAAACAATACAAGAGACTGGGCCACTGGAGCTGTAGAAAAATCTCGCAATTTAATCAGCCCACTAGCTGAATGATGGACAAATGGCTGAAACGGAGACTTTCTAGGTTAATACGAGTCCTTGGGTCCTTGTCAGAGTCCTTGTCCTCACCGCCAGCGCCCACTGCTGCTCCACTGCTCCACTGCTCTACTGATCCCTTTTTTATTTGTATTTTCCCCTTTTGGCTTGTTGTTACTTTGTTAGTTGATACACTTCTTTGTTGCACTATCATTGCGTATCAAGTGGTCACAAATAAAGGAAAGAGATAGGTTTGGATATGCGATAGCCGGTACTTGTGGGAGGTTTAAGGTCTTGCGGGGATTTTAAATATATTTCAGACAAAATTTCAGTTTTACTTTGGTATAGGATACCCGATATTTCTGAAAAGTTTAAGGCAATCAATTATATTCTATAATATTCTATTATTCAATATATTGTATTGAATAATATGTATATGCTATAGTTAGGACATTATTTAGGACAATATCTCAGTTATAAATAGTTTTATTGGAGCACTTTTGATACCCGGTACTTGTGAAAGATGATTGTTACAAATCTCGTTACAAATCTTAAAAAAGTGTAATAATATTCAGGAAATATTGCAGAAAAGAATTCCTAATTTCAAATTGAGAAAAATAGACCAAAATAGTTTTTCTGATATATGATACCCTTTAGTGATACAACCTTTCGATGAAAATCTTCCACATACATAGGTGACAAACCACATGAGAAAGTGTCCGCGAGAAAGCTACTACAAATATATATGTAAATACTGCCTATAATAAAACGAAAGTATTTCATATAATTTAACACCAAATGATTAATTCTGATGTTCAAAAAAAAAAAACAAAAAGAGCTATATTTAGTTTAATATACGATACCAGTTACTGAAACAAGCTTTGAGGCTTTCGTTACGGAAATTTATGTAAAAGACTGTATAGGTAAGTGAAGAACTGCGTGGGGGATAGTTACAACCTAAAGCCGCAGATATATGTACTTTTCCTTAAAAGTGTTTTGGAGTTAGGAGTGTTTTGGTGATATATTATGTACATTTCCCTGGTCTTTCTTTAAGGCTTTCGCTTCAAAAAGCATAGGTGAAGAACCGACTAGCTAGGATACGCTACTTTACCATATATTTATGTGTTATATCCTAAAAAATGGAAGACCAAATGATTAATCCTGATATTGGTACTAAACACCAACGTTAAAAGCCCAAAAAAAAAATAAAAATTTAAAACTAAAACCAAAGAATATTCGAAAAAATACAAACCTTCAAGGCAGCTCTAGGAGAACAATGATTCAAAAAAAAAGAAAAAAAACATAGTAGGCATAGAAGTTATTTCCAGTATAAATACCAGAACTGAATCAGCTCCACCACAGTAGTCTATGGACCATCAGCTCGAACGTTTCTCTCTAAAAATGACATTAGCCATATATAGTTTCAAAGTAATTCGAGTAACCATTTCGTATATTTCATTTTTGTAAAAGCCTTTGTAACGCTCGTATCTCCCAACGCAAATTTTATTCGTCAAAAATAATAAAAGGAAAAAAATTGAACAAATCGGTTTCGGTTTTCGAGCTACCACATCATCGTCATGGACATTGAAAAGTTGAAGAAAATGGAAGACGCTGTACGCATCGGCGGCAAGGGCTCAGTCCGCCGTAAGCACAAGCACATCCAGATCTCCTCCAATGTGGAGGAGAAGCGTCTGCAGGCCACACTGGGCAAGCTATCGCTGAATCAGATGCAGGGCATCCAGCAGGTTAGCGTCCAGATGAACGACGGTAACGAGATCATCGTCCGTTCGCCCAAGGTCCAGGGCTCTGTGGTCAGCAATCTGTTTGTGTTCACCGGTGACGTGGTGCGCGTCCCAAGCGCCGCCAAGAAGGAGGCCGAGGCAGCTGCTGCTGCCGCCGCCGATGCTGCCGCTGCAGCTGAACAGGCCGCCCAGGCCGAGAAGATGCGTCGCCAGGTGCAGGGCGCCAATGGCAAGAAGGTTAAGAAGCCGCGCAACCGCATTCGTTGCCGCAACAAGTGCGCCCAGATGCAAAAGCATTTGGGAGAGGCCGGGGACTCGGTAGCCCAGCCGGCTGATGAGGTGGCGGCTGATCCGCCTGCTGAATCCGAGGACCGTCAGGGTGGCGGTGATGTTGTTGGGCCCAAGGAGCCCATTGACCCCGTTGATCCCATTGACCCCGTTGACGATATCACTTCAGCTCAGAGCCAGACTCCACCGTCGCAGGAAGTCACCGAAGACGGCAATCTCAGTGCCGACTCGGACAAGACCCATGTGCCCTCGGATAGCTCCGACATGGACCAGACCATCGTGGGCGATAACGAGTCCCTGGCTGGGGATAGCGTCACCGATCTCTACGACGAGGAGGCTGCTTACAATCAGCATGTGAACTTCAACTATGACAATTATAGCGATGATGATGACGACGCTGTGACCGTTTACTACAATAGCATCAACCACGTTGACGAAGTGGCCATTTATGAACATTATAACCCTATTGACGACCCGAACCTCAGCTGTGAGAATTTGGAGATCAACCTGGAGAACCTAGACGCTAGCTTTGAAGATGTCAGCTTGAACGACGACGATGAGCCTTCTGACAATGAGTATGAGGCCTTGGAGGAGCAGTATGAGGCCTTGGAGGCACAGTATGGAAGTTATGATGATATCGATGATGCTTTGGCAGCTCAGTATGAGGCTATGGAGGCTGAGGATGATGATGATCTGGATGGGGAGTATACCGATGAAGCCTATACCGATCAGTTGACTCAAGGGAGCGAGATGGAGTCCAAAGATGAGGCAACCGAAGATGATGCCGAAGCTGGCGCTGAAAACGAAGACGACGGCTCCCAGGAGACTGAAAAGGCTCTCAAAATGGATACATCCAACGAGGACAAAGATGAAGCCGAGTCTGAGGAACAAAGCCCCAATCAGTTTTCGTTCGAGGCCGATGTCGATGTCGATGTCGAGAATAACACTTCGGAAGATAACATCACACAGTTCGAGTTCACTGGCAATTCTGAGGATGATCTTTCCGCACAGTTAGTGTTCCAGGCCAACTCTGAGGATGAAATCCCAGCACAGTTCATGTTCCAGGCCAACGTTGAAGAAGAAGTACTCGCCAATCAGTTTGTGTTTGAGGCCGATATGAACGCCAACAACTCTGAGGAAGAAAATGGCATACAGTTTGTGTTCGAGGCCGACGATCAGCTCCCACCAAACGAGCAGGAGAATCGCCAGGAGAATTAAAGAGATTGTTAAATTATAGTTGCGGTAGCGGATTCTTTGATCCCGATCCAATCCGCCACCGCCCGCACATTTCGATGAATCTATCCCTATCCCCATTTCGGCCATTTGTATCTGAATTCAAGCTCTTTCCACCATCTGTTTAAATTTTCAACGAGTTTGTCAAGTTTGAATGTCTCATTTGCATCGATAAGTGGCAGGTCTTATCAATAATGATGGAAGGTACGAGTAAATGCTAATTAAAGCGCTACTTATCGATATTAAAGGGTGGTTTTCTTTATTAAGTGGTTGGGTGGAGGTACTTTTTATTTTAAAACAGCTTTTTTTTTTCAATAAGTTCAAAGGTTTCAACTTTAAACCTCCCATCACTATCTAAAAGTGGTGCCTTGTGTTGGAAGGTGCATTAAAATACTGAATGAAGCTTTACCTTTTTATATATTTTGGAGGTTTTGCTCTTTAAGTTGTTGTGTTGGGAGGTATTTTGTGAAATTCTATGTATTACTAATTATTTTATTTAGTTATTCTTTTATGTGAACTCGAAAGCTATCGACTTGGAACCTCTCATCACTATCTAGTGATGGTGCCTAGTGTTGGAAGGTGCATTAAAATCCATATAATAAAATTATTATCTTTTTTCTTTATTAAAATATAGATTTTCTTTTATGAAATATAGGAAGAGAATGTAGACTATGACAGCTTTATTTATATTTTATGGTTACTATTTTATTTTTGTCTTGAAATCGAAAGTTATCGATTTAGAAGTCTAATAGTGTTGGGATGGTGCCATGAATTTTTGAATATACCACCACTTATTGCCATTCAATTAATCTTTTCTTTATTAAATGATTTTGGGTGGACATTTTTAGCACATATGTATCTATATGTTCTATTTGTTTCTAGGACATAAACCTTGTATCGATTTAAAAGCTATCTATCCTACCACTAGATAACCTACAACAGAAATCCCAAAACTTAATCCTCAGATTTAAAATATATATTTTCAAAACTGAACATAAATTGAGAAAAATCGATAAGATTATCAAAACAAATATTTATTCATTTCATTTGAGAATAGGAATATTTATTTGAATATATGTATGTATGGGCCGATGATGGTATTTCTTTCGGCTAAAAGGTATTCTGTGTAAAAAGGCATACGAATATTTATTTGATTCTGTGACGTTTTTGTGGCAAATTGTATTGGATGGCTCTCCAATCCTTGGATATAATCTCAGATATTTGGATATAGCAGCCGTATTTCGTATTAAACTGCGAAATCCATACAAAAATTAATTTAACAAGCGTTTAAGAGAATATGGCGGACCCCACCCCCCTTTTTCCGGGGGGCGGAAACTAATCTGGGCCACGAAAAATGTACGAAATTAATCTGCACATAAATCAAGCATTAAAATTTAATATATTTGTTTATGGGACCTCAAAGTACGAGGCAGGCAGGCGGGCAGGCTGGCTGGCTGGCAGGCAGGGGGACCGGATGTGTGGCATATATGTATGTATGTATAGAAGCCTGTGTCCTGTGGGTGAGTCTGTGTGTGTGTTAGCATGTATGGGTTCTTAGTGGTAATAAATAAATAGCAAAAAGGTAATAAAACAGACAGAAAAAAGGAAAATAGCAAAGAACTGGGTAGAAAAAGTGTATATTCGAGGAAGGATCAGAAAGCGAGAAGGATGCTAGGTGGGAGAAGGCGGTGGAATCTGCCAACTGGTCGCCCATTATCGTATTAGCACATGCCACCAGTGATTATTATGAGTTTTTCCCACCCACATGGACCCACTTGGACCCACTCTACCTTTTGTTCTTTGTCTAGGCATGCGTGTATAATTAATTTTCGCCAAAAACTAAGCAAATAAAAGGTATCCATGATCAGGTACTAGCCTGGGTATCTATCCCGTCACAGAGGTGTTCTACTTGAGGTTATAAAGCTCTCTTTTTTTTTTAGGTAGAATTATGTATGACATTTGTCATTGAAACACCTCTGCCAAACAAACTGATACCTCCATAAAGCCCAGTAGGTAATCCTGTTTTGATGACCCATCACTTGAGTGAAAAGCCCAAGGACGGGAAGAATAGTTGCAATAGTTAAGAGAACTGTCATTTCCATTTGATGACTATTGTCGAACATTATCAACAATAATTCATAAAAACAATGTGTTTTATGCAGTTCCAGCCGCCGGAAGATGGATGAAGATGAATGGGTCTATAAGAACATCTCATTAGGCTGAGTGAAAAATAGTCCTTTTTGGTTGAGGACCACCATGGTGGTGGTCGTCCTTTTTGGGTTGACACCTACTCGAGTGCCAGGCCGTGCCAGTATCCAGTATCCAGGCAGTATGGCATTTACTTTGTGCTGTTTGTCGCCATTTCTGTTCTGCGGCCTCTAATGAAATACGCATTATTTGGCAACCGTCTGGCTGGGGTGAATTTAATATCTGTAGGATACAAGGCCTGATGGCTCCTGTCGCCCTGGTCCTGGTCCTGGTCGTGGTCGTGGTAGTCGCCTGTCATCCGCAAACGATGCCATTCATTTCAAGTCACATGTGCCCATCACCGGCCCATCAGCATTGATCCACTGGCCGGGTGGAGGGTTGGGGACATGTATTGCGGTTCCCAGGATCCTGTTCTCTGTCCCAGGCTTAAGTGTTTATTAATATCGAGTCGTGCGAACCAGGACATGTGTTGTCCCCTAAATTGACTTTGCCCGTAACTGATAAGGTTCCATTCTCCCTAGTCTCCACAGTCTCCCCAGTCTCCCCATTTCGTAGGATATTGTAAAGGCCATTTGCGATTGTTATCGTTCGTATTGAAGACAACAGCTGGTCACACTAAGGTCCTTTGAAAAGATGTCCTTGCCGTGCACATCTACCATTATTATATTCTTTTCAATTCGATTTCAGCTCAAACTATATGTTTGAGTTTAGTTTTTTGTCATCAAAAACGAGCAATTATTAAAAGAAGGTCATTGGTTCAGAACAAAAGTTCACACTGAAAGCAAAACTTTTCGCATTGTGCTCTTCAAATTATTGTAATCCATTTTAAGTGCTCTTATATCAATATTTGCAATTCGATTTTAGTTTTTTTCTTTTTTTTGATTTTGGCTTTCCAAGTTGTGTTGCCAAGACCCGCAGCCGAACTTTGTCTTCGTTTGCTATCTGGGGGGGGGGAGGCCAAAGGACTCTAAAACTCAACCTGGCTAACAAAAAAAAAAAAATACTGCAGCAGGCTTTCAGGTCCTTGGCACACAGTCACGGGTCGGCCCCGGTCAGGACCCCGGGTAATGTCTTTATATATTTTTGGAATTGCTTTGCTATTAAAACAAAATAAACGGCGCGCCGCGCAACTTATAAATTTTCTTTGAAAATCAAGTGAAAATAAATGCAGTTGAGGGGGGGCCGTGGAGGAGCCGTGGAGCCCAAGAAAGTAGTGAGGCGAAAAAAACAAAAAAGCGCAAGACAAACAGAAAATATAGGGCAGGGAGAGGAGCAAGAGGAGCCTGCAGCATGGCCAATAAATTTAACTTTGGGCTCACACCCAAAACAGAGCCCCAAAGCCCACACACTCCAGTTCAGCCCTTTTTCTTTTCCACAAAAAGCCGGTTCGGTTGTTCTTCGGTTGCGACTTTTAATTTTATTGCCAAGGTCCGACGGAGTGGAAAACACAGACGACAAATGGTGTGTGTATGGATGTGTGTGTTTTGGCCAATTGTCTGTTGGGGTCAGCTAATAATTGGGGGGCGAACCCCAAGCATATACCATTCGGCCTGTACTCCTTCATATATCACTTGGGGGGTAGCCCGGGGCAGTTGCTTCATAAATAATTGCATGCCCGCATAAGTATGCTATGGAAAATATAGTGCTTTTGCCCAGGACTCGAATTGATTTCAGGCAGTGTCTTAATGAAAATGTGTCCCTTAGCAGGAGCTTGCAACTGGGAAATATACGAACATTTTTCATTTTAATTCAAACATTAATTTTCAATTCAATTTCGCTGCTCATTGTCATCAATTGGAGGTCCTTTCAGGCGCTCGCTCCTTCACTTGTCATTGATGAATGCCTGCCCCCAGGAAAAGTTTTTCCGTATTTGATTTTTATTTATTAGGTATTTTTCTAAGGATTAGTCTCCCGCTCCCGCTCCCGTCAGCTTTTCACTTCTAAGGTTGCCTTTTAATAACTGAAAATTCACATAATTTCGGGCAGAAACTTTGCCAAGCTGATTAGCCCTGGTGCTGCTACTGTTCCAGGAGTGAAAGGACATGAGGGAATGTGGAAGTGTCGCCTGCGAATGCGGTGGCGCCAAAAGTTGAATCGTGAGTCCTGAGTCCTGTTCCTTTTTGGCTTTTGATTTGTGTGTGCGTTATGTAAATTCATTAAGCTGCCAGCCTAAGCCGCACCTGCCTGCCTGCCTGCCCACCTATCCTCAAACCACCCACCACTCCCCCAAAAAGCCCAAACAAACAAATTGATAGCCAGACTTGGGGCGCTCAGTCGACTTTTGCCTTGCATTCACAATGGCGTGGAAAGTTTTCATTATGCATGTGCGCCAAAAACTTTTTGGAAACAAAGCTTCGGCTTTCAGCCTCCATGGATGGCTTGGATGGTGAGGATGACTTCGCGGTCAGGATTGGCTCGAAGGATCACAAGAGCAGAGCAGTGCAGAGCAGAGGGGCGTCAGTATTCTAGAAACTTTTCCCAGGCGAGGCTTTGGCATAATTAAAATGTTTATGCGTTTAATTGCAAATGAATTTGAGGCGAAAGTTGCCAGTTGCCCGTTGCCAGTTTGCCACACACACCCAGGACACTATACACACACTCACCCCACACACACACACTCTCTCCAATTGGTGTATCACAAATACAAAACGATTTCCCTTCCGGATTGGTAAGGATAATTGCTTTTCCAGGTTCACAGGTTCCATGGTTCGTTCAATCGGAAAATTGTCTTTAAAATTTAATCAACAAAACGAGTCCTTAGACAAGGATATAGGATATTTTGTATGTTTGTATGGATACTGCGTTAATTTATGTCTCGCCCCTCCACTTATGACATCACAACACAGAGAGAGAGAGAGAAGTCTGCCACTCGAATGCCTTGTGACCACATTTCAGAATGAAGGACCAAGGACGAAGGACTTAGGACTGCCACTGAAAGGGACAAGTTAGTTGAGTGGCTGGCCACAGAACTGGCGTCTTGGCCTGGCAGAGAGACATTAAACAGCTTCATTACCTGCAAATTTCTAAATCAAATACGAG